ATGGTGGAGAGAGAGAGGAGGAGGAAGAGGAGGATGGAGAGTATGTTCTTCGAGGGCGCCATTGTTGCTACTGCTAGAAGAGTGTACAAGATCTAAAGAACGCTTCAAAATTAATATAAGCTTATATTTGATAATGAAATTTTGATTAGATTATTAGTTTCAGAACATTAATGTAAAATTGGAAAGTTCGTTTGAACATTAAACAATCGATCTTCACTGGATAAATCGAATTAATAGTTTGAAATTAACGAGCTATAATGATCATAACTGGTGATCCATCTTAAAATTGAGCTTGTTCTTAGGAATAACTCAAGCCATTCTACGTCATTTATTTAGCCTCCGTTTGGTATCTATTAAAATTTAGATTTTAATTTAAATTAAAATTAACAATTCATTTTAACCAAATATTTTATGAGTCTCGTAACTTTTCAACTTCACATTTCATCAACTTTCATCAAATTTTTTTAAAAAAATCTGATTTTGAATCCCCACAAAAGATGGGCTTAATTTATCTTTAATGGACGTGGGGATATTACCCTTAACATGTCCAACACACCTTACAAAATGTGTCAAAATATGTCGTTCACGATTGATGGGAGACTCCAATATAATATTACAATTCACCTATTTAAGAGTGGGTGTGCACGATGGTCTATATGTCCGTACTAAATGCCTTTCAAGAAAAAGGTATATGCAAATTTATTGTTCTTACCTGACCATAACTCATCTTTAGAATGAAATTAATTTGTATAAGATGATATCTTATCTATTGGTCACGACCCATGCAAGACCTAGATTGAGATAGTGAGTTGTGTGGGAATTCATTTGTTTGTTGCCTTGCCAAAACATATTAAAAATCAATTTTTTAGTAAATTTGGATAGAAGTTCGAGAAATGTGGAGTTCAAAAGTCGATAAAATTTGCAGGTCTCATGAAATGTGTAATTAAAATTAATATTGACGATGATTTTTATCAATTTTTTAGCTAAATCAAACAGGGTTTGATCATCAAAAGTCATACAAGTATTGTCATCTATCAAACTGAATTACTCTCTAGTCTGTCAATTGTGAACTTCATAAAATTCTGCTGTACAAAATGGTTGAACTAAACATAGTCTCTGAGCATGACAAAGGTAAATCTCATTTCTGATTCTAAAAGTATTACTCTCATTCACACTAAAAGCTTCAGTTTAGTCCTAAAAA